CCCGTACCGCCCGGCACGCAGGCTCTGCAGAGAGGCCTGGACGGGCTGGTCCGATGGGCGCTACTTGTATGAGGTTGTACAAGAGCAAATGCCAAATGCACTTGGGTGACAACAACCCCGTGGCCGACTGGCTGGAAAACTGCCCCGCGTAAAAGGGACGGGGGTGCTGGTGACAGTGTCGGAAAATGTGCCAGTGTGTGCCCAGGAGGCCAGGAAAGTCAGTGGCATCCTGGCTAAGAGGAGCAGGGCAGTAATCCTGCCCCTGCACTCAGCACTGCTGAAGCCACTCCTCGAGTACTGTGCCCAGTTCTGAGCCCTTTAATCCAGGAAGGACATTGAGGTGTTGGAGCGGATCCAGATAGGGCAATAGAGCTGGTGAAGGGTCTGAAGCACAAGTCCTGTGAGAAGCGACTGAGAGAGCTGGGGCTGGTTAGCCTGGAGAAAAGAAGGCTCAGGGGTGACCTTATTGCTCTCTAGAACCACCCAAAAGGAGGCTGTAGCCAGGTGAGAGTTGGCCTCTTCTCCCAGGCAACCAGCAACAGAAGAGGAAACAATCTTAAGCTGTGCCAGGGGAGGGTTAGGTTGAATGTTAGGAGGCATTTTTTCACAGGAGTGGTGAGACAATGGAATGGACTGTCCAGGGAAGTGGTGTAGTCAAAGTCCCTTGGTGTACCTAAGGAAAGAGTAGATGTGGCACTCGGTGCCATGATCTGCTGACCTGGTTTTGGGTCAGAGGTTGTACTTGATGATCTGAGATTTCTTTTCCTGCATAAGTGATTCTGTGATTCTGACTGTGTGAAGCTGAGTGTGAGCTGCTGGAGCACTGGCTTTGGGGTGTGGGTCTGTGGGCCCAGGCAGCAGTCAATGAGCAGCACAAGCAAGTGAACTGGAGGCTCTTTCTGCAGCATCTTTCTGCTGGAAGCCAGTCTGGGAGGGAGACAGCTTTCTGCATGGGGTCCCTGTGGGGCAGCAGCAGCTGTCAGGTGGAGGGGAGCAGATTTCAGGCACTCTCAGTTTTGTTCCACGCTCACCACACTCTGGGTAATGCTGATCCATGGCATATCCTTGTTCCCAAATTCTGTTCCCACCTCCCCCTTAGCACTGCCACTGCCTAGGGTCACATCACTGGGCTTTTCTGTATGTCACTGAACTGATCCAAGACAATGGACTTAGCTGCAGTTTCCTGTGGGACAATAGAGGAACAATAGGACAGGGTGGTTCCAGCTTCTTGTATGGGCACTCAAAGTTAGATGTTGTGAAAACCTCCCCTGCAGGCTGTCACAGCAAGCACTCATGGCAGGGACTCAGGCCCTACCAAGACAGGCCTGGTTTCCATCACTAACTTTGCTAATTTTACTGTATGCTGAAATTGATGTTTTGAACCTAACTATCAAACTTTGTCTGAAATTATATTAATTCTTTCTAAAATGTGTTGAAATTGTTCTAGCTGGAGGGCATTAGTTCACATCACTTGCTTTCACTTTTTGTGGGTGTTCCCAAGCAAAGTCAATAAGGCCAAACCTTTTTTTTAAACAGATGACTGGTGAACCACAAAGCTGCAGTAGCTGAGGTGCCAGTAACCACTGCTTACACATGTATGTACTTTGCAGGATTTCAAAATGAGCACGTCTCTCAAGAGGGCATGTTGTGAGAAAAGGTGCCAGGCATCGCCTTTGTCTCTGCTCTAATACAAGATATGTCGCTATACTTTTTTTTTGCACACCAGAAGATCAAAAGTAAACTGTGTGCTCTTCTGAAGCATAATACAGACAGACTGAAGTGATTCCTGTGCTCACAGAGGTTTATGCACATAGGGTGTTAGAAGACCATATTCTGAACATAATTTATGAAATGCTATGGTACATTCACTCATTCAGGGAGGCACACACAGTGTGGTAATTTTTCCTTTTAAAAAAGCTCATAACTGAATGTTAATACTCTCTCAGCACAATACTTGTCTCCAAGACTGAGATTTTGTTCACCATAAAATTTTCTATTGATTTAAAAAGAACTTCATATTCTAAGATTCTCGAGTATCATCAGTGTGAAAAATGAAGGTAAAAGGCACATAATTTGTAATGGGGAACTTGTTCAGTCTGTAGTTGTCATGTTTTGTTCAGCTTGGGAGCTCACCTGCACATGACTGGGGGAAATCCTTTTTTCTCCATCACCATGCTTTTTCTTATGTTTCTTCACCTTTTTTTTTCCTCATCTCATATTCTGCTATCCACTTTTATAAGAACTCACAAATTAAGAAGGGCTAAAAAGGTGTAGGATGATGTTCTTGAAACAAACTTGGTGCCTTCAGATTTAATATCAAATTACAATCACAGAGGAAACTTGTGCTTTTATATAACTGCCTTTTTTTGGAAGCCTCTCTCAAAGCAGAACAGTCTGTCTTAACTCTCTCAGGAAGCTGCTGCTCCAGTTCTTGTTTCCAATCTTACACCATTGCAGTAGCAGTTTCCAGAGCTGATTAGAGTGTGTTTATTTACAGTAGAGGGTGCAATATAAAATGATACTAAAATGGATGGTGATGGAGCATTAAACTGATACCAACATTAACCTCCTGGAACAGGGGCAAAGCAATGTGTGCTGGTCTAAAAACTCTACTAACTGCACCAAGTATGAAGAAAGTGAGTTCTCAGCAGTGTGAATACTGCCCTTGGGCTGATGACACCATTTGTGTCCTATGCGTGTTGTGCAGCGACAGAATCTCCTGGCATCATTCTGTTGAAGTCTAAATTAAATGTAATAAACTTTTTAAAAGTAATACCACAAAGATGGCATTTCTTAATACATTTCTTTTTTATGGTATTGATGGGAAGTTGAGAATGTATTTGGATAATTACAAAACATCAAACACAAGTATAAGACATCCAGACTACATTTTTTTCTAAGTCTTAACACAGAGAATGACATCTAACAAATTTCCTGTTATTCTGATTTTGACATTTTTGAATCCATGTTGTTCCAGCAAAGCTTGATATTCAGAGCCACTTCTCTCCTTTCCCTCTGTCTGCACAAGCATGTTCAAAGACTGCAGCAGAGCTGTGCTCCTGTTCTTCTTTTCATCATCCAATACCATTTCAGCCAGCAAAACTGCACAGCCTAATTTAAAAACAAACACATGCAACAGTTCTAATCCATTATCAGGCAAGAAAATTTCTGCTGCCATATAGAAGGGTGCAAACTACAAGACCTGGGTGAATTCCTTTATCATTTATGGATTTTCTCTCCTATTAAATGACTAATCCACTATTGAAAGAATAATCCACTCCTCTCACAAACCCCAGGAAATTCCCTTTCTCAGTATGGAGAAATCAAACACTCACAAGTCAAGTCACGTCTGTTTTCAGGGGAAAAGGGGATGACTTGTGTAGACTTGGCATG